GCGGGGGAAGCAGTGGAACGGGCACGGACGAAGAGGTACAACGGCAGTTAGCCTACTATCTAGCGTGTTTATGGTAATTCAGGCCATCCCGGTGACCCAGGAGTAGCATGCATATACATCAGCCTCCCTCACTTTGACGCATCCAGTCACTCTCCGGTGACCAGACTCTCTTGCATCCTCTATACTCTATATTCTCTCCGGAGACCAAACACTGTCCAGGCACGCCCATGTCTACCCCACGCTACATTCACCCTTCCCTCCTTTTCTCCCTTTACCATGCTCCCTCATGGTTCACGGCCAATACTTCTATTGACCGGATAAAAGAGACCTCACGCGGAACAAAGGGTGTACGTATAGTTTCGATTTTTCCCCGAGATTTCAACGTTTTTGGATGAGAAGCTTGTCCTCTGACCCGTTCGACTTCTGACGATGGAAAATGTTCCGAAAAAATCTGGAAAATCCATCGTGAATCGTTCCTGCGAAACTCGAAGACATCGTCGAGTGTCACGCTGGGGCGAGTAGACGATCGATGAAAGTTCAAGAGCGATTCAAGGGAAGAGGGTTCCTCGATCGAGGAAGTCGCGGTCTTCACGGGTGAATACGAAATGCTCGCGTATTTTCTTGTTCGGGAGATCCTGACCGCGTGGACCCCCGCGTCCTATTCAGCGGGTCCGGCGAATTCGAAATCGAGGCACGGGGGTGGAAGTGGAAGGCCGGAGGAAACGATTCTGACGTTCGTTTTGCCCGACGGGTTTATCGATGCGTTATTTCGCAAATGGCTCGCCATTTGTCGTGTGTGACGCTCGGACCTCGTCGCCACCGTTATATCACGCATGGCTTGGGTCGCCCCGACTGAGCTATTCAACCCCCGCGTGTTTTCTCTTTTTCGTTGCCATTCCGGACGCGTTTCCTCTTTAGCGAGCGCACACACACACACATGGTCCCCTTCGATTGCACAAGCTTACGCTGCGATTTGACGCGATAAATCGTGGCCCGCGGGCAGCGTTAGTTCGCCCACAGATATATAATGCCGAAAAATTCCTGCTCATTTTCGCGATCGTCTGGCTGTGTCCGATATCCATTGACTTTCAATTAAACAAAAATACAGAGTATTTCCCGTTGCAATTCGATGACACGATAATTGATTACGTACACAATTTAATTCTCGCGTGATCCTTCTCGACCTCGTATCACGACTTGGTTACGGAAAATCTTTCTCTCCGTGGCAGTGTTCGCTGTTTTATTTCTCGATCTCAGTGCTCAGGTACATTTATGCGTGGTTCGCACGCGTTGCTTTACGCCTCGCGCGTTTTAACGCACCCTTGGGGGCGTCGTCTCATCAGCCATGAAAATTTGTTACGCTCCCCGACTGTACTGCGCGCTCGTCGTTCTCCAGTTTATTGTTCATTTTATTGCCCCTGATTAAAGGGAAACGTACGAAATATTCGACGCCCCTTTCTATTATCCTTTGCCTCGTCTGGATCCGTTTAAAGTGCCATTTTGTCTGGTCGTAATACTCGTCATCTACACACTCGTCTCGTTCCGTTTACGTTGCTAACCGGGTGCTCGCGTACGAGTTTTATTCGTGCTCGGCAAACAAATCTCCGTTCGCAACAGACGGAATTTCAAAAACCAAATTCTTAAGGATACATTATTCAGCGTCGAAATAGCGCTCGCAGCGTAGAATTGCAGAAAGAATCGCGAAATGTTCGTTTCGTGTGCCTCTGTACACAGAACGCTTTCTCGCTCCGTCGGCGGGACAAAAAAAAAAAAGGGCGGCCAAAGCAAACAGTCGGGGAAACGCGCGTGTGTTTACAAATTTTTCAGCTCCGCGAAGAGTTCCCGTCGAATAGAGGAAACCGCGAAACGCGAGACGAGCGCGGGAACGGTGGAAATTGGTGAGTCAAAGAGTATTTCAGCGGAGCAGCCGCTGGTGTCAGGGGTTACGTAGGAAAAGTTTCCGACCGCGCAAACGGTGTAAGTAGCTTTAAAGTGGCCACCTCGGGGATGGTTGAGTGAGAAAGAGACAGGGAGAAAAAGAGAGACGCGCGTGAGCTTGCCACGGCGCATACGACGCGGACATTCTCGTTAACTAGAAAATTAGCCGTTTGTGACCTTTTATCAAGAACATGGCGCGCCTCCAGTGGAGGGGCCCACGTGGTTCCGGGCGGGTGTGCTCTGTAATTGCCGTTCCCTCTCGTGAAATTCGCGTGAGCAATGGCGAAATCGCGTGTATCTCGGCGTTCCCGTTCGCCAACTAATTCTTCGCGAGGAACGATAGGTGTCGAGGCTAGGCGTCTCGATCCACGGCCCCTTCGAACGGTAGCTGTAAACGAACTCGAAAAACGAAAATCTCCCGGCGAAATGATCCACGAGGGATCGTTAACCTGTCCGGTGCACCACGCGAGAATCTAATATCGGACCTTAAAACACTCGCGGGAACATTGAAAAGAAACAGAGCGGAATCACAGAAGGGATCTTGTTAGAAGCGTTGTTGCGTATCGTGATCTAACGTCGAGCGTGAATTTGTCCGTCTTGCATTCCGCGAGGCTTTATCCGGATAAACTGATTGGAGAACAGAACGTGGGTGTGTCCGCCTATGGGATCAGAAGGAAACGCGTTTATCTAGATTGGCCCTGCGTGACAATGGACGTACGAAATGTTTCGGTGATAAACGAACGCGCGTGGTAGCGTCTAACAGATTGACGAATCTTTTGGGTCATCGGGTCGTGGCAAACAATTACACGACAACCTTCCTGAATAATTCATTGTTTCGATAATCACGGCCGAAGGAGCGGTGAAAATAGTCGCGCGTCGACGAGCCGCGAGATGCCGGAGCGTGCCGGGGTTCCTTTTCTTGCATAATTGCGTGTGGGCTGTAAAATTCGCGTTGTTCGCGGGGGCCACTCGACAGGTGAAAAAGCGACCTGACCCCGTCGACATCGAGCCACTTTCATATATACACGGGGCGACGGCGAAGCCGGTTTTAATTGCTTCCTCTTCCAGCGACCGAGTCACAAAAAGCCACCGTACAGAAGCGTGGTTAACAGGGGGGACAGAGACGAAGGATACGGATAGAAAATGCGCGAGGTAAGAGGCGAATACGGGCGAGCAAGCGGGTCTGAATGAAACAAGGGTTGGGGGGGGACCAGAGAGAAATGAATGAGAGGGACACAGGGTATATACATAGTCGGCGGTGGTCGTGACCGAGGTCGAGCCAAAATGCAAAGCCGGTAATCTGATTTGGCGGCTCGCAGAAGGCAGCGTAGCCTCTAGCCCGGTAGCTTTGCCTCGGATGGTATGCGGATTCCCGTCAATTATACATTATAAACAGTCATAAATATGCAGATTCCACGACGACGGCGACGACGGGAACAGACCATCGGGGGGAAGTATTCGCGTGCGTGAGCGAAAGCACGGTTACGCGATTGCGGGACCTGCGGAGCATCTCCCACGCGGATTTGCACCTTCCCCTTACGGCAGACAAACGCAATCTCTATCTATTTTACGGTGCAATTGCGCGCGGTATAAATTCTCTCCTCGTCTCCATCCCGCCCGACTTCGATTTGTACGGGGCGAAAACGTTTCGTTCAATTTTATAACTGGTTTATTCATACGTCGGTAGAAAGCAGGAAGAGGAATGGGAAACGCACAGGTCGATACAAAGAGAATGAAAATATCTACAGAGATAGCATTGATGAAAGAAAACAGAAAGAAATGTTCATCCACATTGATCCGCGAATCAAGTCTACGTTGTATAAGAAATGGAGAATAATGATCGAAGGAGATTGAGGAAGATATTGAGCTACCGAACAGGTAAACCGTATTCGAAGGTACTTTATGTTTCATAAAATACGGAAGTTGTCGATGCGTAGATAAAGAGATTAAAGTAAGTGCCACATTAAGAGCTTCCCACGAACAATATTCAGGGTCACGACCCTACGTACTGTTTCTAGATGCTTCTAACCGATAATTCAATCGCCTTCGATGACCTCTGAATATTGCACGCACGTGTACCTACACGCACTCTCGCATCCTCTCCGCTTTCCGAAGTAATTACTACGGATATTAGTTACTCGTGGTTGCTTTCCGCGAAGAGTAATTGCGACCGTCCACCGCATACCTGTGCAACATCTCCGGCCGTCTAATCGAGTTCTAGGGAAATTACCACGTCGAAATAAAAAATAAAAAAACGTAATCACGCTGCGATTACGCAGACTCTATCAGCCTCGATCGATCTGTTCGAAGAGAAATTACACAGAATACGGTTCTATGGCAATCGTAAACGCGAGAAACACTGTGCGCAAAATTACCGTACAACTTTCTTTTCATCGAATTTCTATCCAGCGGACGTTGAACAATTGTGGCTCGTAATGTCGCGCTCGTGTGTACACATACGGATCCACGTCGAACTACCGAGAGCGGAATAGTTTCATGCAAATCAGCCCTGCTGCGCAGCACGGTGCGCAAGGCTCTCCTTACCAGTACCAACGCGGAAATTTCATGACGAACGACCGTTAACCGACAAAAACAATTTCTACGTACGATAAAACGTATCGACGAGGAATCATGGGAATCCATGGCCAGTTCCAGCCAGTTTACCGATTCAAGATCGGAGCATTGGCGCAGCCTGTGTTGCACGTCGCGGCCCATTGCACCGAATGCAATCCATGCCGACGTACACGAACACGGCTTTCCACACGGGTGGGGGGTGGGTAATGCGAAACACTCGAATTACATGCCACGAATGGATCCATTACCAGCGCTCGTTTTCGTGTACATCGAACAGAGGATGAAAGTCTAGTGGCAGATATCAGGACGCAGGATCGCGCAATCGTTGACTTTCCACCTGGTATTTACTCTCGGAATTACGCTCGACGGAACACCGGTGTTATTATACTTTTATCGGGTTGCGCGCAACGATATCGTGTGCACGCTCCACTCCTATCTTCGATTTCCGATCGTGCGGATAAGTCTTGGAAAAGTATCATTTTACTCACCGAAATGGCGACGCTACGTGCTGCCTACCAGTACTATCGGAGCCACGTTCACCTCTATCGGTTCCTCTTGTCCGAAAATCAGCAACATTTCCACACTAACTTTCCACTATCTTCTGTCGTGCACAAATTAAATCTTTTTGATGCTCTAGCTGCATCATAGAACCGAGAGCAACTGCACGTGGTATCACTTATAATCAGACTGCGGCGACTGAGTGTACTAAACAGTTTAAATGTATGTAAACTTCGCGGACAAATTTGGGTATCAGCGACATCTATGCACGAACAGGTTAGGTTAGTCAGTAAGGAGAGCGCGCGAATTATTGAGACGTTGTAGCGTCCGCGGCTAGTGCGTTTAGACTGTGCTCCAATGAATCGAACTGTGAAATATTAGGCAGCGAGTCTGTATATAAACAAATGCGGATGAACGGCTGCGTAAGCACGCGTCGGTACGGTTGTGTTTACGATCGGTCGTAGCCTTTGTGACCGGTGAAATGGGATAGGGGACACGGGGTCCCGCGTACACATTGCTGCCAACCCCCCCCCCCCTTCGGACACCGAGCTACGCAGGTGTGCTGTTCACGCTGTCATTCGTGTGTGCTCGCCCACGCGTATCGAGGTTGGTGGCCATTTTGCGATTGTTTGTGGTTGCGTCACCGAGGGATAAATCATAATTTCGAGGTGTCGCCGTTGCGGTGAGTAAATAATAATCGCATAAACAGTATTGTTATTCATGTGTTGCATGATAAAACATTCGATCAGACGGAATGACATTATCGCTTTAAGTAATTATCCCTTGTAGTCGGGTGAAACCGTGGATCGGTGGTGCACTTTCTTCTTTACGTTTTTGTATTAACTGGTATAGGTTAGATTGGCGCGAAGTTTAATACGGTAAAAGGATTATAGCAGTGACCGATCAAAAATCATTGTCGGCATTTCAAGGGATGTCATTCACCGTATCCGTGCAGCTCGATTAATTTCGACAGGTGTCGGATCCCTTAATCGGACAATCACCGACAGATATCAAAACAGCCGTGGTACGGTCCGTAACGCATCTATCGTTGTCAATGGCGTCACCACCGGTCGTTCATATCCGGCGTGAAACCGCGTGGAACGCCCCAAAGGTTACGGCTTTGGTTCAGGATATTGAGTCCGCTAATAACGCGGTGCTCTCGAAAAAACCCTTTTGCTCTCCCCCGGAGCGTGGTCGACTTAAACACCACGCCGGAAAAAATTCGTGACCCGTCGAACGATTGGCTCAGGGTTGGCGAAATTGCGACGGTACTGGAACGATGCCAACACAACCGATTTCTCTTTCTTCGACGTACACTCTGTGTGCACTATGTGTACATATATACACGCGACAGAAGTAACAAGCGTCGTGCCGATTGAAAACCATGACCGAACACGTTCGGGTGAAATTATCGTAATTATCTACGGGCGAGATCGTTCGCCGACAGAGTATCCCTCCTCTTCGAAATTAGTTCGATCTGCACCATCGATGAATCATCGTCTCTTACCGGCGTGTGACGCGCGTGCAAATCACGATGTTCCACGATTTTCCGCCGCACTGGTCTCCTCTGTTTCCATCCTCACGTAACAGTGGCTATACACGCACACCCACAAGTGTGGATGTTCGTGCTAAGAGAGACATTGGTGCGTGGCATGCGTGTCGGACGATCTAAGCGGATTACTCTCTCTCTCTCTGTTCGTGTTTCCATCACGTTTCTCGTTCCTTCCTCGAGAGCTGTCGTAGCTCCTCTCCCACACGCCCGTGGGAAACAAGGTGGTGCAACGCGACACGAGGCCCTTTGGCTCCTCTGTGTGTGCGAGATGCGTGTACAATCTCGTTCACGCACTGTCGTCGATCACTCCGATGCTGGCCAATTCGTCGCTACGCCCTGTTGGATAGAACGCCTCGGCCCTGTCGCCTGCTGCGACGATTAAATTGTTGGCCCGATGTGATTTCGTGGAGCTTAAACCGTAGAACCCCGGCTGTACGGATCGCCGATAAACATCGTTGTTTCTATGGACCAAACGCGGGGCAGTAATTCGCGTCGGTTTACGTGACTGAATCTTCTCGAGCGCGCGCGCGCTCGCGTAGATCGCTCAATTGACGGGGTCTAAATAAAAATGCGGAAGACCACCACGGAAAATAGTTTTACGATCGTTGGAGAATGCAACGCTGGGGCCTGGCCAGGCTCCCGGTAAAATCGCGCGCGGAAGATCGGATCTATTTCGCCTTTTATGGCGTACCGTGAAATGGTCTGCCCGATAAGTAATTCATTTCGCAAAACTGTGCTACCTGCGCCTCCCGTCTTTCAGTTACCCTGCCCAATTCCGAATCACCTCCTCTCTCGGCTCTTGACGATCACGCGGAAGGATTACATCGCGATTGGTAGCGTAGCGGGGAGTTGCTGGTAGAGATAGCGAGGATCGTTGAACGCGGCTGGATGGAAAACACGATTCTGCTTCTCGAGGTCGATATGTATAAGGTACATTGCGAACAGACTGAAGTGGCCCGGGTCTGTGGTGAGGTTTCCTACGGGTGGCCCTGTGTCGCGTTCATGTACGAATATGGATACACGCGTATATGGGTAACGTATACATTAGGGTATTAACCCAGCCGCACCCAGCTATCCCCTGTAAGACGTTTCCTTAATTAAAGCCATCGATTCACCGACTGATTAAACTTGCCTCGGTGGCTGGAGGGAACTTGAAAGGGCTTAGCCTTCCTGATGCTCTTTACGCCCTTTCGGCGGTGTTCTCTTCGTTGCACGTTGGTTATATTTCCGCGTCATTACGATAATACGTACTGTCCCGCGCGTTGAAAGAACGATAGTGTCGATCAAGTGCCTTTGGCAACGGTAAATAATAACACGTAAACGCGCGCACTCGGAGCGAAAAACGGAGAAGGGATAGCCCGTGGAACGAATTCGGACCCCCCCCCCCTCCGAAGTTCGCCCCTGTCGGATGCTAATTAATGCCGAAAACTGCAATAAGCAAGGCTCGTTTGCTCCGTCCAAATGTCTTAATGAAACCCTCGAGACTCGGCGAGTTTCTTGGTACGTCCGGGAGAAGCTTTTTGCCACTTGTTCGAGTTCAGTGGAATATTAATTTACCGTCCCCGCAAACACACGTAGACGTTTTTAATCGCGGCCGTTATTACTATATAGATGTTGGCTCCGACACGATATTGCTCCTCGCGCAGGGATTCTCGTACTTCGTGATTATAAAGACTTTTTCTCTGCTTTTCGAAGTTTGTTCGGTCGATTCGCGACACGATTTTTATCCGTCGAAATTATCGATGTTTGCTAGATCTCGTAGATCCACTTAGATTTTCCGGAATGTGGCGCACAGAGAATGAGAAATGAGGCTGAAATATATGTTACTTTCGTGACCGGTGCTTCAAGCGGTACGAAGTATGCCATTAGGGCGACTTCTCGAGCTAATAACCATGACGTGGCTCTCTTTACGGTATTACCATCAATTAATTTCATCGACAAGCTTCCCGATAATATCGATTCGGAAACTTCGCACATGCGGCGCAAACTTGCTCGGTTACATAAGTACTGTAAGTACATAACGCGGGTGCTTAGAGGTCTTTTGCGTCCGCGATCAAAAGTTATCAGATCGAAGATCTTATAGAAGCACCGCTCACGCTTGATAAGAGACTCGTGCTTCTCCAAGCGATCGAAAACTACGGCTGGAATTAAATTCCTTGTCCTTCTAACCCCCTTCCTCGTCCGTTCCGCCGAGAGATGCTTCGAGAATACAGAATAAGACGAACGGTCACGCGGTATCAAATATAGCCTTTAGGTCTTTTGACCGACCGTAAAATTCCCCCGTGTTCACGTGCGTAATTCTTTCTTTTCGACAAAAAGGTGATGGTCTATTCCGAACGTCGTAAGAGTAATCGTTAACACTCGTAAGTAATACCAGGGGGGCCGGAGTCGCGACTTAAATTAGATATCGCGAGCGTACTGAGATCTCTTCTTGCTTCTGCTAGAAAACCGGGACGCACCCTTTGATAAATTTGACGCAAACGCCTAAATGGTGGCGCTAAAAGGGTAAAGATCCACGCGGGACGCTCTCCTTGAGACTGGATCAAAGCAACGTCTTCGTAAATTACTCAACCCCCGGTAGATTTAAATGGCCGGGGCCCGGTTATACCAGCAAAGACACCGATCCCGACCACCTTATTTTCGCTGTCTGGCGCCAGCCATCGAGTCAAGGTTATATCAATAGACAAGGAGGAAAGGGTTCTTCGGCTCTTTGCTTACCACCGTCGTAGGGTATCCGGGCCAATGGATCTGGACGTATCCCCTTCCCCTCCCCCTCGGGATTTACGGATTAAGTCGGCTACCGGCGAAGGAACGACGTTACGTCTGCGTCTGGCTTAACCATTCGGATAGATAACGTATCCGAAAGGATATACCAAGCCGGATAGTTATGGGATCACATTTTGTATTATCCTTCGACCTCTCCTGATCTTTCTCACCCCGCTCTTATCGCATCCAAAGACATCGGACTATTCATCGTACGGAGGACATATTACGCGAGCTCCTTCAATTAAACGACTTCGACCCTCGGCGAAGACGACTGCCGAAGGAATAATTCCAAGGCAAACGGATAAGCTTTTCGCAAACAGGATCAGCAAAGTTTCGCAGCTACACGAATAACCTCGTAAAGCCGACTCCATCGAGGATACGCTGTGTAACACAATTCTTACGTACAATACGGATCTGTCCTAGATTCCATTGGAGAGACGAGGAAAATCTGGTGCTACATCGTTCATTAGTTGAAATTCTTAACGCGCAAGGGAACGTCGCGCGAATCTGATACGCGTGGACCAGCGCAGCTCGATTCCACGAATTCAATTTCTGGAACGGGAGCATTGTTTGCCACGGTTGCAGGATATTTTATGAAATCCTCGTGGAGAGCCATAAGTATTCAGATTGCAGAGTCCGCGTCCCGCTTAAAATTCTAAATTCGTCATCGTCCCAGATTTCGTTTGTACGTCGGGGACCGTCGTTCGAACCGGCGCGGG